AACCCTATTGCAAGTAGAGAAACTGATAGCCAACGGCATGGATCCTGATCAGACTGCGCGGACGCACAGGCTGGTCTGGATCCATGCTGGTCGCAAAGGCATTACGTTGGTTTTGTCGTGACGCGGCTCAAATAAGTTAATTAGTTTTTCCCTCTATATCGGGATTTTACAACACTTAATTTGTGGAATTTCAAACCGCAAGTCCTCTATTTCTAAGAAAAACAATTCAATTTAAGCAAATGAGATGTAGAAGGCGAGCTAAAATTTAATCTGACCCCTAAATCAAATCAAATTACTTAAATTAGATGTTCCATCATCATTACTGACTTATTCAAGTTGGCATAAAACTTACAGTAAAAATTTTGAACAATGAGTCAATGTTAATTGTTATTGCCTATATTTGGACGATATGGCATGCATACAGAATATTTAGTCAATGCTAGGGGTAAAAGAAGTGATCGACAGTCAATTGGGTAAAAGAAGTGATCGACAGTCTATTTGTAATCTTCACTTCAGTGTTGTTATATTTTCTGGTCCTTCGGGATCATTGATGCCAACACTATAATGTGTTGAGAATTGAGTACCGCTCAAGCCGGTGCTAGGGGGCGTGAGGGATGTTGCACTTATTCATTATCCCTCATGTACAGACTCAATCAAACCGAGTCTGCAATTCTTATGTTATTTTGTTGTGATTAATGCTTACCGAGGATCACTTTGTTTCCAGATTTTTGCAAATAAAAGTTACGACAAATCGCAAATTGAAAAGAAGGGGAAGTAACTATTGATATATCTCTCTACATTTTTCGGATATTCACGATAATCTTTCCGGGAAAAATATATTCAAATTACGGAAAAACACGACTAGAACATAGCGCCCCCTGTTATCAAAATGTGACTCATAATTTTGAAATGACATTTTGCTTAGTTATATTTTGCCTAGTGCCTTATAACATTTTCCATAATGGTTCATCACTTCGTGTATTTTGTTCTTGGATGCATTACAAATTAACAAAAATAACAATGGCACAGCACGCTAGATTGCACTATCATTCACTCAAATGAAAAAAGGCATCAGAGACTAAACATCAAACAAGTTGTAACTTCATCAAGCATGATATAATTGTCAACAAAAATGATGAAAGTGCAAGCATGCATAAGCACAATAGCAGTGTCAATGAGTAAATTGTAACAGTAAGCAGGCAGTGTGTAATTGTCAACAAGCGTGATGAAAGTACAAGCATGCATAGTGACTGTACCAATAAGCACAATAGCAGTTGCCAATAAGTAAATTGTAACAGTTAGCAGGCATTGTGTAATTTTTACCTCAATATCATTCCATACCATTTGGTATTATCACTTTTTTATGAATTTTTGCTTAAGTAGAAAGGTGCTCCTTAAAATACTTGTGTAAATGCTTCGCTGCAATACGAATACACCAGCCAAAAAGTAAAATGCCTGTTATTGCCATGCTTCTGTGGTAACAGAAGTAAATGTTTTTCACTTTTTACAGGACTTTTCACTGGACTACAATCACTTGAACAGCTTTTAACCCACAAATTTCATAGTTTGTACAAAAGTAGTATATGATAAACATAGTATATAGAAACAAGAATAAAGATCATCAATGCAAAAGCAACGTTCACAGGACGCAGCCCCCGATACACTCAAAAACACCTGGAGCGGACATAAGGGTGAAAGGAGTGGGAGATGTAATGTGAAATAATATAAACTAAAACAAGCCCATAAGGGAATTTAAGGGATAAGGCCTGTAAAGGTGAAAAGGTGGGGGTTAAAATGCGTGACGGGGGAATTGAAAAAATACCTACCGTCAAAGACAATCCAACAAGACAGAAATAACAACACATGCAAACATCCAAAAAAAGTTACAACACAGACATGAAAAACACGTGAATGAACACAGAATGATACCGCCTTGGAACGGTCAGTGGTAATTAAACCACTGGGGAGTTTAGACCGGTTTTAGGCGCGCCAAACCTCACGCTTAGCCCCAATATGCTCCTGAATGACATAAAAGTGTAGGTAAAATACCCGCCAAGTGAAATTCTAACAATAGTCATTGTTACATAAGACGAAATAAATAAAACACATACAAAAATATGTAAATATGTAGAAAAAGGTACAGCCTATGGACCATTACCAAAGTACTCTATGCCTTAAAGGAAGGCAGAGCAACACGAAAATCACCTACAAGGACCCGACGAAGCAAGACAGAAGACGAAAATTAAGACAATTCCCAAAGGGCTTTAAGAACTGTGCATCATAAAGTCTCCCACTTAGTCCGTCAGATGTAATAAGAGGAAAGCGTAGCGTCCAACTGTAAAAGGGTTAACACCAAGCATGCAGTATGCCTTAAAATAATTGGGTCATTAAAATTAGAAAAATTACTATGACCCATGATCCAACGAAATTTGTAAACCACATCTCCATAGAAGTCAGGTTTCCTGATCCTTATAAATCGTTCAGCACGACATTATTGTTGTGCTTGTGGTATTTTTAGTTTGAACTTTTCGGCATTTTCTAGTTGGGTAGTTCCAATATTCCTACTTGAATAATGTTGAATCACCCTTAGGATATGTTGCCTGCTTTTTAAATTTGTCTTTTGACGTCTTATCTGTGATACGCAGGCTTCATAACCTCTGATCCCCTTTCAAAATTCCATTTTATTTAGTTCCGCCCATTGTTTTCTCGTTTAGGGCACACGCTTTTTATTACCAGGGGACCATACGCCGCTTTTCATGGAATGGCACGGAAGTGTCACATTGAAGGTTCCATGATAACAGCCGTATGAACACATCTGCGGATGTTTCTAAATGCAAAATTTTACTATTTCATGTTTAAATGTTGAATTCTGCTTAAGCCTGTGCTAGGGGGCGTTGACGGTAACTTGCACTTTCCAGTACCGTCCATGAACAGGCTCAATCAAACCGAGCCTGCAACATTTTCAATTTTGCCGTGTTGGGCTTTCTTTAGGGATTCTGTATTTATCTATGTTATGATCACATCCGTGTTATTTGTGCCGTGTGGCGGCTGTAAAAAGTCTCCCCGTACATTTAATCAATGATGTTATATTTTCGATCCTTGAAGATAATTCAGCACGACATTATTGTTGTGCTTGTGGTATTGTTAGTATGAACTTTTCGGCATTTTCTAGTTGGGTGGTTCCAATATTCCTACTTGAATAATGTTGAATCACCCTTAGGATATGTTGCCTGCTTTTTAAATTAGTCTTTTGACGTCTTATCTGTGATACGCAGGCTTCATACGTCTTGTTTGACTGCCATTAATTAGATATTGTGATAAAGTCTATGAAAACACAGGCAAACATCTCTTTTGGTCAATTAAAAATTCTGGTGAAATCTTGGATAAATTCAAAATTAATAACTTTCAAGCTTCAACTGTCAGTACATACGATTTTTCTACACTTTATACAACTTTGCCACATAAATTAATCAATGATAAACTAATTACCTTAATTCAGAAAACTTTTGCACGGGAAAAAGTTACCTTTCTAGCATATAATTCTAACAAAGCTTTTTTTACTAACGGTATTGTTAAACATTATACTATGTGGACCCGTGACGAAGTTTGTAGAGCACTCTCTTTTCTTTTAGACAACATTTATGTCAGGTTTGGTAATACCCTATTTAAACAGATCATAGGAATTCCTATAGGTACTAATTGTGCACCCCTGGTCGCCGATTTGTTTTTGTACTGCTATGAAAGAGACTTTATGAACAGGCTCAATCAAACCGAGCCTGCAACATTTTCAATTTTGCCGTGTTGGGCTTTCTTTAGGGATTCTGTATTTATCTATTTTATGTTGAGTCTCTCTGAAGAGAAACAACAAGATGTTATAGTCGCATTTAATAATACTTCCGGATACCTTGATGATATTTTTAATTTAGATAATCCTTATTTTGATCAAATGGTGTGTGACATTTATCCGCATGAACTACAACTTAATAAAACGAACTCTTGAAATTTTAGTACATCATTTTTGGATGTTCATATTACTATCAACAACAATTCTATTCACATGAAAATTTATGATAAAAGAGATGACTTTGACTTTTGTATAGTTAATTATCCACATTTGGATGGAGACGTACCCCATTCAACATCCTACGGGGTTTATGTTTCTCAGTTAATTAGATTCGCTAGAGCTTGTAACAACGTAAAGGATTTCAACGAGCGGAATATTTTTATTACCAGCAAGCTTCTAAAACAGGACTACCTCTATCATAAATTACGGAAATATTTTACTAAATTTTAAAATCGTAACTTTGATTTAATTTCTAAATTCAATAGTGATTTAAAAACTCTTCTGCGACAAGGGATTAGCCAGCCAGGGGTTAGTATCTCGAAGCTATCGTTATATTTGCGTTAACGAACGTGCTAACGATTGACGGAAGGTTGGTTAACGAGAGATTAGCGCGGGTATCTCGAAAGCGCTAGTTCAGCAATCGTTCGTTGCTTACTCGCTAGTTATTAACGACTGCGCTGTGTTATCATTTCATTACAATTCGTTATAATTGTTCAATCTTTTGCTCTTTTCAAAGACTACGAGTACATGTATAATTTGTTAAATTAATAGTCCTGAAAGTACAGTGCATCGTTATAAATCCGTTTTTATTTCTTTTTATTCATGTTAAACAATACTACTTTTATAATCATGAATGAACATGTCTCTCTGTTATATTATTTTAGAACTAAGCTGAGACTTCCTTAATGCTCTAGAAAAGAAGAATGAAAACTGAAAACAATGTGTTTATTTTATTTTACATTCCATTACAGAAAAACATATTTTATCATTCTAAACAGTTAAATTTGCAATCATTAATGAACAATGCTTGTCTCACATTAATCTATCAACTTGTTTAACAAACATAAAATATATTGTTTGAACTTACGATCAATACAACACAACGTCGACTTTGTAGTTGGCGACTTTTTAAACACTTCTAAGAACGGTCGAAGATTTAGCTAGCGTGTGAAAACATCTCCCGAATAAGGTTATCGCGAACCTGTCTACCATCATCGTTGTTGTTGTTTTCTCTATTATTTTCATTGTTGTCGTCACCATTGACGTCACTGTCATTGTCGTCATCTTCATGGTTTACATTGTCATCAATCAGAGGCAAATTTCTCGAAATACACATGTTGTGAAGGACTGCAACTGCAGTAATAATCTTAGCACATTTTATCGGGGTGTAAGTCATGTATCCACCTGACTTGTGGAGACACCTGAACTTCATTTTCCAAATGCCAAATGTACGTTCGATTACACAACGTGTACGTTTGTGAGCAACATTAAATCTCCTTTCAGCCTCTGTATTTGCAGTTGGTAATGGCGTAAGTAAGTATGGTTTTAACGGATACGCACTATCACCCAAAATCCATGTATTTTGTAAATTCATTTCTTCGATCTTGCGGACGCATTTACAGTTATTCCATATAAATGCATCGTGAGTCGACCCTGGCCAACGAACAACTATATTTGTGAATAAATTGTCGCCATTACATACAGCGACGTCTTCTGTTGCCGTCACCTCCCAAAAACACAAGAGCCATCTGAAATTGTGAAAACGATAAGTGAATAACATAAAAAAAGTTGAGTAAGAAATGTTTGAATTCATAATGTCGTTACCCTATGATTAAAAAACATTTTACCTCACGGATAGGAATTGCAGTCACGATACAAAAGGCAAAAGCTTACCTTTGCTAGTTTAATTGTCTTCTTTAATTATCTGTGTTTTATACAAGTTGTTTTCTGTGTATTTAAAGTAGCAGCATACTTACTTTTGTGTCAAAGTGAGGAGAAAACAATCATCTATTGATCAGTTTGTTGATGCAGTTTCCAGACGTCCACTGCGAACAGAACAAACAAAACACCTCTGCAGCTGTAGATATCTGGGCAGCTTGAAGACAGAAACCACCATGAGAATTTATCTGCTGAAGTAAGAAGATGTCCTCCAGGTGGGATTGTATGTTTAAACCATTTTTTTGAATGAAATTGAGGTAAAAATTACACAATGCCTGCTTGCATTTTCATTACGCTTGTTGACAATTACACACTGCCTGCTTACTGTTACAATTTACTCATTGGCACTGCTATTGTGCTTATTGGAACAGTCATTATGCATGCTTGCACTTTTATCACGATTGTTGACAATGATTCCATGCTTGCTGGAAGTTACAACTTGTTTGGTGTTTAGTCCCTGGTGTCTATATGGCTGAATGACAGTGCAGTGTAGCGTAATGAAATATTTCAACATACCAGGACTGTATATAAGCTTTGATATTTCAACATTGCAGTTATAGTGCCCCTAGAACAAAACATACGATGTGACCACACACAATGAAAGATGCAATCAGTCACTAAGCAAGTTGAAAGTAAGCATAATGTGAACAGCGAATTTGCACATCACATTTTGATACCAGGGGGCGCACGTTCGTAGTTTTGCGGAATATGCCGGACTTTAATTAGTTGTTGCCATCAGGTGCGTCCCTATGTTTCAATTACACCATTTATTAGGTAGGATCGCCTATAGAAAAGCCGGGATCTGGGATCGTATTTAACATAATTATATTAATCCCGGGCATTGACCACCTACTCTCGATGTATTATCATTATTATTATTGTTATTATTATTATTATTATCATCATTTGAATGTTTTAGTAGAGATTTCTAAGTAAGTTTGATTTGTAGTAGTTATGAAAAATCTTTAAAACTAACGTATTCTTTCACAGACAAAAGAGTTGTGAATCAATTCAGCCAGAAAAGCCTGGTCGTATTAAAAAATATAGGGATCCCGGAAATTGACCAGTTTAAGAAGATATTTTTCAGATAAAATATGATAAAAAAGATCAACAAGGAAAGGCGGCATTCAATGAACGCAACCCCCACACGACCTAGCAACAAGAACCAGTGGCAAGGAGCCAAGGGCACGGACAGTTAAATCACTAAAATGATACATTATTTGTAACATTTGCCCAGGACACGGACAGTTAAATCACTAAAATGATACAAAATTTGTAACAGATAAGGAATTCAAAGAAAACAAATAAATAATAGAACAACATGCCCACAGAGTCAAAGGGCACATTGGAAGGGACAGCAGACGGGGGGGGGGTAATTAAAGAAATAAAAACTAGGGGCAAAGCCGGGATCGTATTACACACATAGGGATCCCGGAATTTGACCAGTCTAAGAAAATATTTTTTCAGATAAGCCGGGACCGTATTTAAAAAAATAGGGATCCCGGAAATTGACCAGTTCAAGAATATAGTTTTAAGAAAAGCCGGGATCATATTAAAAGATATAGGGATCCCGGGAATTGACCAGTTCAAGAATATAGTTTTCAGAAAAGCTGGGATCGTATTAAACAATTTTACGTTTTTAAAATCGCCTTTCATTACGACAAGTCATTACACAAATGAGCCGTGTCACGACCCAGCCAACATAGTGGGTTTGCGACCAGCATGGATCCAGACAAGCCTGCGCATCTGCAAAGTCTGATCAGGATCCATGCTGTTCGCTTACAAACCCTATTGCAAGTAGAGAAACTGATAGCCAACGGCATGGATCCTGATCAGACTGCGCGGACGCACAGGCTGGTCTGGATCCATGCTGGTCGCAAAGGCATTACGTTGGTTTTGTCGTGACGCGGCTCAAATAAAGTTAATTAGTTTTCCCTCTATATCGGGATTTTACCACACCTTAATTTGTGGAATTTCAAACCGCAAGTCCTCTATTTCTAAGAAAAACAATTCAATTTAAGCAAATGAGATGTAGAAGGCGAGCTAAAATTTAATCTGACCCCTAAATCAAATCAAATTACTTAAATTAGATGTTCCATCATCATTACTGACTTATTCAAGTTGGCATAAAACTTACAGTAAAAATTTTGAACAATGAGTCAATGTTAATTGTTATTGCCTATATTTGGACGATATGGCATGCATACAGAATATTTAGTCAATGCTAGGGGTAAAAGAAGTGATCGACAGTCAATTGGGTAAAAGAAGTGATCGACAGTCTATTTGTAATCTTTTTGCTAAATAAAAGTTACGACAAATCGCAAATTGAAAAGAAGGGGAAGTAACTATTGATATATCTCTCTACATTTTTCGGATATTCACGATAATCTTTCCGGGAAAAATATATTCAAATTACGGAAAAACACGACTAGAACATAGCGCCCCCTGTTATCAAAATGTGACTCATAATTTTGAAATGACATTTTGCTTAGTTATATTTTGCCTAGTGCCTTATAACATTTTCCATAATGGTTCATCACTTCGTGTATTTTGTTCTTGGATGCATTACAAATTAACAAAAATAACAATGGCACAGCACGCTAGATTGCACTATCATTCACTCAAATGAAAAAGGCATCAGAGACTAAACATCAAACAAGTTGTAACTTCATCAAGCATGATATAATTGTCAACAAGAATGATGAAAGTGCAAGCATGCATAAGCACAATAGCAGTGTCAATGAGTAAATTGTAACAGTAAGCAGGCAGTGTGTAATTGTCAACAAGCGTGATGAAAGTACAAGCATGCATAGTGACTGTACCAATAAGCACAATAGCAGTGCCAATAAGTAAATTGTAACAGTTAGCAGGCATTGTGTAATTTTTACCTCAATATCATTCCATACCATTTGGTATTATCACTTTTTTATGAATTTTTGCTTAAGTAGAAAGGTGCTCCTTAAATTACTTGTGTAAATGCTTCGCTGCAATACGAATACACCAGCCAAAAAGTAAAATGCCTGTTATTGCCATGCTTCTGTGGTAAACAGAAGTAAATGTTTTTCACTTTTTACAGGACTTTTCACTGGACTACAATCACTTGAACAGCTTTTAACCCACAAATTTCATAGTTTGTACAAAAGTAGTATATGATAAACATAGTATATAGAAACAAGAATAAAGATCATCAATGCAAAAGCAACGTTCACAGGACGCAGCCCCCGATACACTCAAAAACACCTGGAGCGGACATAAGGGTGAAAGGAGTGGGAGATGTAATGTGAAATAATATAAACTAAAACAAGCCCATAAGGGAATTTAAGGGATAAGGCCTGTAAAGGTGAAAAGGTGGGGGTTAAAATGCGTGACGGGGGAATTGAAAAAATACCTACCGTCAAAGACAATCCAACAAGACAGAAATAACAACACATGCAAACATCCAAAAAAAGTTACAACACAGACATGAAAAACACGTGAATGAACACAGAATGATACCGCCTTGGAACGGTCAGTGGTAATTAAACCACTGGGGAGTTTAGACCGGTTTTAGGCGCGCCAAACCTCACGCTTAGCCCCAATATGTTCCTGAATGACATAAAAGTGTAGGTAAAATACCCGCCAAGTGAAATTCTAACAATAGTCATTGTTACATAAGACGAAATAAATAAAACACATACAAAATAAAAAGGTACAGCCTATGGACCATTACCAAAGTACTCTATGCCTTAAAGGAAGGCAGAGCAACACGAAAATCACCTACAAGGACCCGACGAAGCAAGACAGAAGACGAAAATTAAGACAATTCCCAAAGGGCTTTAAGAACTGTGCATCATAAAGTCTCCCACTTAGTCCGTCAGATGTAATAAGAGGAAAGCGTAGCGTCCAACTGTAAAAGGGTTAACACCAAGCATGCAGTATGCCTTAAAATAATTGGGTCATTAAAATTAGAAAAATTACTATGACCCATGATCCAACGAAATTTGTAAACCACATCTCCATAGAATAGATAAATACAGAATTTCAGGTTTCCTGATCCTTATAAATCGTTCAGCATGACATTATTGTTGTGCTTGTGGTATTTTTAGTTTGAACTTTTCGGCATTTTCTATATGGTGGTTCTAATATTCCTACTTGAATAATGTTGAATCACCCTTAGGATATGTTGCCTGCTTTTTAAATTTGTCTTTTGACGTCTTTGATAGGCCGGCTTCATAACCTCTGATCCCCTTTCAAAATTCCATTTTATTTAGTTCCGCCCATTGTTTTCTCGTTTAGGGCACACGCTTTTTATTACTTGGGGACCATACGCCGCTTTTCATGGAATGGCACGGAAGTGTCACATTGAAGGTTCCATGATAACAGCCGTATGAACACATCTGCGGATGTTTCTAAATTCAAAATTTTACTATTTCATGTTTAAATGTTGAATTCTGCTTAAGCCTGTGCTAGGGGGCGTTGACGGTAACTTGCACTTTCCAGTACCGTCCATGAACAGGCTCAATCAAACCGAGCCTGCAACATTTTCAATTTTGCCGTGTTGGGCTTTCTTTGGGGATTCTGTATTTATCTATATTATGATCACATCCGTGTTATTTGTGCCGTGTGGCGGCTGTAAAAAGTCTCCCCGTACATTTAATCAATGATGTTATATTTTCGATCCTTGAAGATAATTCAGCACGACATTATTGTTGTGCTTGTGGTATTTTTAGTATGAACTTTTCGGCATTTTCTAGTTGGGTGGTTCCAATATTCCTACTTGAATAATGTTGAATCACCCTTAGGATATGTTGCCTGCTTTTTAAATTAGTCTTTTGACGTCTTATCTGTGAAACGCAGGCTTCATACGTCTTGTTTGACTGCCATTAATTAGATATTGTGATAAAGTCTATGAAAACACAGGCAAACATCTCTTTTGGTCAATTAAAAATTCTGGTGAAATCTTGGATAAATTCAAAATTAATAACTTTCAAGCTTCAACTGTCAGTACATACGATTTTTCTACACTTTATACAACTTTGCCACATAAATTAATCAATGATAAACTAATTACCTTAATTCAGAAAACTTTTGCACGGGAAAAAGTTACCTTTCTAGCATATAATTGTAACAAAGCTTTTTTTACTAACGGTATTGTTAAACATTATACTATGTGGACCCGTGACGAAGTTTGTAGAGCACTCTCTTTTCTTTTAGACAACATTTATGTCAGGTTTGGTAATACCCTATTTAAACAGATCATAGGAATTCCTATGGGTACTAATTGTGCACCCCTGGACGCCGATTTGTTTTTGTACTGCTATGAAAGAGACTTTATGAACAGGCTCAATCAAACCGAGCCTGCAACATTTTCAATTTTGCCGTGTTGGGCTTTCTTTAGGGATTCTGTATTTATCTATTTTATGTTGAGTCTCTCTGAAGAGAAACAACAAGATGTTATAGTCGCATTTAATAATACTTCCGGATACCTTGATGATATTTTTAATTTAGATAATCCTTATTTTGATCAAATGGTGTGTGACATTTATCCGCATGAACTACAACTTAATAAAACGAACTGTTGAAATTTTAGTACATCATTTTTGGATCTTCATATTACTATCAACAACAATTCTATTCACACGAAAATTTATGATAAAAGAGATGACTTTGACTTTTGTATAGTTAATTATCCACATTTGGATGGAGACGTACCCCATTCAACATCCTACGGGGTTTATGTTTCTCAGTTAATTAGATTCGCTAGAGCTTGTAACAACGTAAAGGATTTCAACGAGCGGAATATTTTTATTACCAGCAAGCTTCTAAAACAGGACTACCTCTATCATAAATTACGGAAATATTTTACTAAATTTTAAAATCGTAACTTTGATTTAATTTCTAAATTCAATAGTGATTTAAAAACTCTTCTGCGACAAGGGATTAGCCAGCCTGGTTTTTATGGCGATGTGGTTTACAAACTTCGTAAGATTTTGGGTCATGGTAATATTTCTGCTGTTTTTACTAAAATCATTAAACGTTTTATTAAAAGAGGTTATGATCCTACTATTTTAAGACATTCTGCATGTTTAGTGTTCAACCCTTTTACAGTTGGACACTACGCTTTCCTCTTTTGATTGCATCTGACGGACCAAGTGGGAGACTCTATGATGGATAGTTCGTAAAGCCCTTTGGGACTGAATTGTCTTAATGTTCGTCTTCTGCCTTGCTTCGTCGGGCCCTTGTAGGTGATTTTCTTGTTGCTCTGTCTTCTTTTAGGACATTGAGTACTTTTGTTATGGTCATTGGGTTTACTTTTATATGTTTCTACATGATCATTTTAGTGTTTTACTCATTTAACCTTTTGTAACCATGACAACTGTTAGAATTTCACTTGGCGGGGATTCATTTTATTTACACTGTCTCGTTTATAGGAACATGGTGGGCTAAGAGCGAGGTTTGTTGCACCATTAACCGGTTTAAACTCCCAAGCAGTCATTATTATGCTGCTGGACGTTCCAAGGCGGCGCCCCACTGTGTTCCTCAGATGTATGTCTATGTTGTTTCATACTGTTTTGGTGACACTTTTGCTTGTGTCCCTTGTTGTTTTCTCGTCTAAGGTACGTATTTTCCCCATTGCCTCTAGTTTCTTTTTCTTTGATTAACCCCCCCCCCTCCCCTTCCCCCGGTCTCCTGTCCCCTTCCCCTTTGTGGGCCTATTATTATTTTCTTTGAATTCCTAATCAGTTACAAATTATTTATCATTTAATGATTAACGTGTCCTTGCCCTGTCCTTTTTGTGTTTGGGGTCCGCCTGGGCTCCTTGCCATTGGTTCTTGTTGCTGGGTCATGGGGGGGGGGTTGCGTTCATTGAACGCCGCCTTTCCTTGTTGATCTTGTTTTTCATATTTCATAACCTCTGATCCCCTTTTAAAATTCCATTTTATTTAGTTACGCCCATTGTTTTCTCGTTTAGGGCACACGCTTTTTATTACTAGGGGACCATACGCCGCTTTTCATGGAATGGCACAGAAGTGTCACATTGAAGGTTCCATGATAACCGCCGTATGAACACATCTGCGGATGTTTCTAAATTCAAAATTTTACTATTTCATGTTTAAATGTTGAATTCTGCTTAAGCCGGTGCTAGGGGGCGTTGACGGTAACTTGCACTTTCCAGTACCGTCCATGAACAGGCTCAATCAAACCGAGCCTGCAACATTTTCAATTTTGCTGTGTTGGGCTTTAGGGATTCTGTATTTATCTATGTTGCTAATACCTAGTTGTAAGATTTTTGAATTTACATGTACAATTAAAATTTTAAAACTAAGTCTGAATTACGATTGTAAAATTTTGTATAATATTTTACACGACTGCACGCCCTAGCAAATCTAATGAATTGAGAAATATACACCCCAAATGATGTAGCATGAGGTACATCTCCGTCTAAATGTGGATAGTTAACAATTATTAAAATCAAAATCATCTCTTTTATCGTAGATTTTAGTTACTATAGTATTGTTAATAATACAAATGTTTAAATCAAAAAAAGACGTAATAACGTCTGAGATAGTTTTAATCAATTAAAGTTCACTGAGATATATTTTTGAAACCAATTGATCGAAATAAGGATTATTCATGTTAAAAATGTAATCTATGTAGCGGGAAGTGTTGTTAAATGCATGTATAATTTCTTGATGTGAAGTACATGAAGTAGGAGAAAGACTTAACATAAAATCCCTCTCATAGTAGTAAAGAAATAAATCAGCTATCGGGGGGGGGTCACAATAAGTTCCCATTGGAATGCCTATTATCTGTTTGAAAACTGTATTACCAAATCTGACATAAATGTTATCTAATAAAATAGAAAGTCCTTTACAAACTTCGTCAAAAGTCCACATTGTATATTGTTTAATGATACCATTGGGAAAGAAAGCCTTCTTTAATTTGCAAGCAAGAAACGTGACCTGTTCTCTTGCAAATGTTTCTTGAATTAAAAAAATATTTTATCATTTATAAGATTATGGAGTTCATCAATGTTAAAATGATAGTGAAAT